GGAATGATTCTTGCAGTAAGGATCTGTTTCCTCTTTTGAGCTACTGCATCCATAGGTGTAGGTCAAGTTCATCAAATTGTATCAGATGACGCTTTTTTTCCTCTGCTTTCTTCTTTGGGTTGAGCTCTGATCATCCAGTCATTGAAGCCAGATCAAGTGGGTATTATCTACACATGTGGTTATTCTTGCATCTATCTGCTCTCTTCTTATCAGCTGGACACTTCACTCTCTAGTCCATCCTCTGTGGCTGTGTCACTGACTCTGGGCCCAAGAATCCCCAGGTCTTGCCACACTGCTGGCCGACCAGGTCTCCACGCAGGTTCAATGTTCTTTTTTATACAAATTATTCTTAACCTGGATCTCTTCCATCAAGTTACCCTGAATTTTGTCTCTTTTTTTCCCAGAAGACAGTATGACATGGTAATTGAGAACTCAGGCTCTAGAATCAGACTCACTAAATTCACCATTGATTAGCTGTGTGAATATTGTCAAATTACCTCTCTTGAGGCTGTTTCCTCATTTGAAAAACGTAGGTTATGATAGTCCTACATGTTTCAGAGTCTCTTCCGACATCCATTTTGGTCTCTTTCTTGTCTTCATAATGGCCTTTTGCTTTCTTCCTGTAATATGTTCTTGATGTCATCTCACAACTCTTCTGGTCTTCAATGTTTAGCGTTTAATGCTCAAATCTATTCTTCAGATGATCTCTAAATTCTGTAGACAACATATTGACGTCTCCTGTCTTACCCATTATGCTCTCTGTCTCTTGACTGGCACATTTAATCCATTTACAGTCAATGTAATTATCAATAAGTATGAATGGATAAGAAATTTAAATAACCCAATGTTTATTTTAAAAACTGAGCTGATGTATTAATATACATAAAATGGAGTATTATTCAATCATAGAAAGAAATGAACATGAGCTGAATGTGGGACTGTAACCACAGAAGCAGAGACACCAAAGCTGGAGTCAGAGGTGATGGCCTGGAGAGATTGTGCAGCTGAGGACTCTAGACTCATGGAAAGACAAAGGCTGTGTGCTGGTGGCCAGGAGACTGGCTTCCAAAATATACCTTGTGGTTTTTTTTTTGTTTTTTTTTTTAGGTTTTTATTGTGAATTGAGTGAAAGTTTACAGGGCAGAGCATCAGTTTTACATTCAACAAATTATACACCTTGATCCATTACAATGATTATAATCCCCTCCATGTACTATCAGATAACATTATTTCTCTCTATTCAATTCAGATTTTTTTTTTTTTTAAACACTCAAGCATATATAATAATTTACATCACCAA